ACTACTGAAGATACTACATTCAATAAAACAAAAATAGGTATATTAAACAAATAACAATACAAGAGTCTCTTATGCCAAGAACTGTTACAAATCTTAACAAATGTGATTCCTTTACCCACAAGGTAGGTACTATTAACCTCACTTGTGGACTAGAAACTGAGGACAAAGAGATTAATAATTTGCCTATGGTCTTCGTTTTAAAGTTGTGGAGGTGGAATCTAAACCTACACGGTCTGGCAGTCTGGTTCCATTGTGTATACTTTTAGCTAGTATCCTGTGTTGTGTTGAAATGATACCAGCAGAAAACAAGCAAAAGCTACTCATTAACAATTTATAAACATTCGCAGGTCAGAAATATACAACTTAAGAAATCTGTCAAAATACAGAATAAAAAAAGACAGAAAACTTAAGAGATAAAGAAATGAGGATCAATCAAGAAAGCCAACATTCTGCTAGTAAATATCCCAAAACGGGCAAACACAGAAAGACCAAGAAATAATACCAAAGAAATAATAAAAGAACATTTTCCATAAATGAAGGGAGGCACTTGCATTTCAACTGAAAGAACCTATTGAGTCCAGCAAAGAATGGCAAAGACAATTCCTATCTAAACACATAATCATAAAATTCTACAACTACAACGGATAAAGATAAGATACTAAAGCTTCCAAAAGAGTGACGAAAAGGATTATTTAGGAAGTAACGAGACAGAGTAGCAACAGACATCTTACCATCTAGACGCTTAACAGAACAGAGCAAAAACCTCTAAGTTGTAAGAGAAAATTAATTTGAATCTAAATTTCTACAACTAGCCAAACTATCAAGCAATTATGAGCCAGGCCAAAGCTATTTTTAGACATGCAAGAATTCAAAATATTTACATCTTAAGTACTCTGTATACTGAAGTTAATTTAAAATACATTCAAGGCAATGCGAAGTGCTCATGCCTATAATCCCAGCACTTTGGGAGGCTGAGGAGAGCGGATCATTTGAGGTCAGGCATTTAAGACCAATCTGGCCAACATGGTGAAACCTTGTCTCTACTAAAAAATACAAAAATTAGCAAGGCATGATGGCAAACACTTGTAATCCCAGTTACTGGGATGGCTGAAGCAGGAGAACTGGTTGAACCCAGGGGGCGGAGGTTGCAGTGAGCCGAGATTGTGCCCCCACACTCCAGCCTGGGCAAAAGAGTGAGACTCTGTCTTAAAAAATAATAATAATAAAATACATTCCAGCTAAAAAGGAAGAATGCCATAAAAGAGGAAGATATAACATCTAAAAAAGAGTAAATCTAACCCAGAAATGCAGTCACGGAATATCTCAGAATGACATATACACAGCAACTTCCAACCTATCAAGACTGAAGCAGGAAGTCCAAGGGAAAAGGGATTCCACCTAACAGTTAATAGATATTATGACCCAAGCAGGAAACATCTGAGAATATGATAAAGATATATATTTTTCTATCAAGAAAAAAAGACAATTACAAACTATTAGAAGAAAAGATGAAAAGTCATCTAGAATATAAAGCAATCTAGTGGCATGATTTCGAAAAACTGAAGTACAAGAAGAAATAAGTAAATATTTTATTTCTTAAGCTCCACTAGCATTACGACTTTAGACCCATAGAAAAGAAAAAATAACCATAGCACAACGACTAAGTGAGCTAAATCCTCATCTTTCTTAGCAGTGAGTCAATAGACATAATTTGAAGTTAGTAAATCAAGAAATAAAAGCAGATCTTAACAAAACAAAAAAAGCCTAGGAGGCTTTACTGGAGAATTCTACCAATCATTTAAAAGAATTAACTAGGCATAGTGGCTCACTCTGTAATTCCAGCACTTTGGGAGGCCACGGCAGGGGAATCATGAGGTCAACAGATCAAGACCATCCTGGCCAACATGGTGAAATCCCATCTCTACTAAAACCACAAAAATTAGCTGGACATTGTGGCACGTGCCTGTAGCCCCAGCTATCTGGGAAGCTGAGGCAGGAGAATCTCTTGAACCCGGGAGATGGAGGTTGCAGTGAGTCACGATCGTGCCATTGCACTCCAGCCTGGTGACAGAGTGAGAGTCTGTCTCAAATAAATAAATAAATAAATAAATTAACCCAATCCTCCTCAAACTCTTCCAGAGAAATAATGGGAGAGAATATTTCCAGACACATTCTAAAAAGCCACCATTACCCTGATATCAAAACATCGAAACCAAAGACATAAGAAAAGAAACCACAGCAATAATAGGAATACTGATTTTTTAAATTTTCAAAAAAAAAAAAAAATTACCAGCAAACCAAATTCAGCAATACATTAAAAGGATTACATATCATGTCAAAGTGGGATTTATACCAGAAATGCAAGGATGGCTCAACATACAAAAATCAATCAGTGTAATATACCACCTTGATAGAATGAAGCACAAAAATCAGGAGTCCAGTTGATGAAAAAAAGCATTTGACAAGATTCAACATCCTTTCAGGATAAAAACACTCAACAAATGAAGAATGGAAGGAAACTACCTTAATATAATAAATGCCATATATGAAAATCCCACAGCTAACATCCTATTTAGTGGTAAAAGACTGAACACTTCTTCTAGGATCAGGCACAAGTCAAGGATGCCTACTTTCACCACTTCTATTCAACATAGTACTAGAAGTCCTAGACAGAGCAATTAAGCAAGAATAATAAATAGAAGGCACTCAAATAAGAAAGAAAGAAAATTATCTCTGTATACAGATGACATGCTCTATATGCAGAAAGCCCTAAGGAAGAATCCACAAAAAAACTGTTAGTACTAATATATGATTTCAGCAAAGTTTCAGGATTCGAAATCAATAAACAAAAATCAGTTGTGTTTCTATACATTAACAATGATGAACTGGAAAAGAAAATTTAAAACAATCCCATTTACCATAGTATTAAAAAAGGAAAACCCACAGATGGTGACTCACACCTGTAATCCTAGCACTTTGGGAGGCAGAGATAGGAGGATTGCTTGAAACCAGGAATTTCAGACCCCATCTCTATAAAACATTAGCTGGGCATGGAAGCATGTACTTTTAGTCCCAGCTACTTGGGAGGCTGAGATAGGAGGATCATTTGAGCCCAGGAATTCAAGGTCACAGTGAGCCATTATCGTGTCATTGTACTCTAGCCTAGGTGACAGAGACCCCATCTCTCTCTCTCTCTCTTTTTTTTCTTTTAAAAGGGGGAGAGGTAGGGTGGATAAAATAGGAATAAACCAAGGAGATAAAAGACTTGTACTCTGAAAACCACAAAAAAATTGCTAAAAGCAATGAAAGAGAGATACAAAAAAATGGAAAAACATCCCATGTTTTCAAACTCAAAGAGTTAATACTGTTAAAATGTCCATAAGCAATCTATAGATTCAATATAATCCCTATCAAATTCTCACTGACATTTTTTGGCGGAAATAGGAACAAAACCATCCTAAGATTCATACAGAATCTCAAGGGACCCCCAAGTAGCCAAAACAATCTCGAAAAACAACGAAAAATTAGAAGACCTTATGCTTTCTTATTTCAAAACACACTACAAAGCAACAGTAATCAAGACAGTGTGGTACTGACATAAAGACAGAACTATAGATCAATAGAACAGAACAGAAATACTCTTGCACATACCACCAAATGACTTGCGACAAGGGTGCCAAGACTACCCAGTGGAGAAAAAAACAGTCTCTTCAACAAACAGTGTTGGGAAAACTGAATATCCACATGCCAAAGAATGAAGCCAAAATTTAAGGTTACTAATTTACTTTATGATGACCTAAAAGTTTTGATCTCCAAATATTTTTTCAACACTTTTTAATTAAGTATTTTAGATGTATATTAGAATATTTTTCTGGCTAGAAAGTAATTTAAATCATTTCACTGACTAAAGATTTTTATGACTGTTCATAAATCCATTACAAAGTGCTTGTTTAAGGCCAGGCACAGTGGCTCATACCTGTAATCCCAGCACTTAGGGAGGCTGAGGCAGGTGGATCACCTAAGGTCAAGAGTTTGAGACCAGCCTGGCCAACATGAAACCCCATCTCTAATAACAACATAAAAATTAGCCAGGACTTTAGTCTAATCACCTGGGCAAAAATTAAAAAAAAAAAAGGAATAAAAAAAAAATTAGCCAGGTATGGTGGCACATGCTTATAATCCCAGCTACTTGGAAGGCTGAGGCAGGAGAATTGTTTGAACCTGGGAGGCAGAGGTTGCATGGAGTCAAGATTTCGCCACTACACTCCAGCCTGGGTAAAAGGGTGAGACTCCATCTCAAAAAAATAAATACAAAGTGCTTGTTTAAAATGTAGTAAGAGTGGATACCTGTTTATTAAACTCAAGACACATTCCAAAACTTTTGCTTTTCAGTAAACCCTTGATGTTTTCCTTTAAACGTTAAAACATCAATATGGAAAGCATTAATATATAAAATATTAGTACATAAAGAACCCAATAGTAATAAAATGTTTTGTACATTTGTTTGCCATTCAATCTAGGTTGTACTACTCTATGATTACCAGCACTGAAGTAATAATTATAGTTTGTAATACACAATGAGTCAAATGGGGCATCAATGGAACAATACAAAACTTGAAACGGGTGCTTATTCTACTCTCAACTATCACCAAGCCAATCTTCCTCAGAGTCTTCCAAAGAACTAAGTGGGAGAGAACATTTTCAAACTCACTCTAAAACGCCAGCATTATCCTGATATCAAAACCATAAAAAAATACCACAAAAAAAGAAAGCTACAGCAATAAACCTAATGAATATTGATTTGTTTTAGTCTTAAAAAAAAATACTAGCAATCCAAATTCAACAGGACACAGCCTATGGTATTTTTGTCAAAGCAGCCAAAACTAAGATATCTATTCTATCCCCACATGTTCACAGACTCCAATCCCCTATGCCTTGATTTGGTTTTCTCTACAGTACAAATACCCATCTAGCATATATTTAACTCACTAATTTCTCACCTGGTTTCTTCAGTTAGCAAGTAAGCTCCTCAAAGGCAGGGCTTTTACATCTCCTTTGTTCCCCAGCAAATTGAACAGTACCTGGCACAGAACAGATGCTCAATAAGAACTTGCTGAATGAACAAGATAAAGACCACCATTAAAGGTATACTAACTGCTGAGAAAAATTAAAGGCCTAAGTGAATGGAGAGGTATATTGTGTTCAAGGATCAAAAGACTCAATGTTGCTAAGATACCAATTTTCTTTTACCTATAGAGTAAATAAAACCCTAAACAAAATCTCAGCAGCCTTTTTTGTATAAAGTGACAATTTTTTTTTTCAGATAGTCTTGCTCTATCATCTAAGCTGGAGTCCAGCAGCAAAATCGATGGCTCACTATAGCCTCAACTTCCTGGGTTCAAGCAATCCTCCCATCTCAGCCTCCCGAGTAGCTGGGAGCACAAGCATATCCACCACAACTGGCTACTTTTTTTCTGTTTTTTTTTTTTGGAGAGCCAAAGGCCTCATTACATTGCCACTACACTCCAACCTGAGCAATACAGCAACACCCTATAACAGTATATAATTTCTTTTTTCTGTTTCTTGATTGGGATGGTTACAAGGATGTTTAGGTTTGTCAAAACCAAATCTGCATACTTAAATTGGTCAAATTTTAACATACATACATTATACTCCAATAAAAATCAATTTTAAAATATATGCTACATCAAAAACTGAAATCCAACAACAAAATACCTAAAGAACACTACATAAAAGAGCTCATAAATATTAAGTATTCTGCACACCTTTAAAAATAACAGGGGCCAAGTACAGTAGCTCGTGCCTGTAATCCTAGTACTCTGGAGGGCCAAAGTGGGAGAATCACTTCAGCCCAGGAGTTCAAAACCAGCCTGGGGAACAAAGACAGGTTCTATCTCTGCAATAATAATAACAGGAAATTGTACTTAGGTAAAATGAACTAGTTTGAACAAGGCCAAACTAGTTTGAAGCAGGCCAATATTCTTCCTAAGAGCAACTTAAAAAGCTAAATGAATAATAAAAATCATATTTTTAAAGGTAGTGAAGAGCTGTGGGAGCATGGGAAAGAAGGTCTAAAATTCCAGAGATAGGGAGAATCTTTTTTTTTGAGACGGAATCTTGCTCTGTTGCCCAGGCTGGAGTGCAGTGGCACGATCTTGGCTCACTGCAACCTCTGCCTCAGAGATGGGGAGAATCTTTTCCAGCATCTGTCTTTTCCCTGTGAGTATTTCCTAATTATGGCTTGGGCTAGAGGCTGAAAATTGAGGCCTGACCTGTGTAAAATATTGCTGCTGAGGAACGCAGAAGCCAGGACAGCTTTTGGTGTTCACATAGGGCTGGTATAACAAAACCAGGAGACTAATTCTTCTAATAAGTTTCACACAGGGACCTCAAGCTTAAGGGTGATAGTCCCCTCAGCATATTTGCTGAATTTTAAAACTGTGCAGGGTAAAAGGCTACAGAGTTAACTGAAAAACTTTGAAAAGCAAAGTGAAATTTCCCACCTCTGACACTGCTAAAAGGACAAGATCAACAGGGTTTGAAATGAAAGTCTTAAAAGATAACACCTGGAAAAATAAGGATAACAAACTACTAAAAGAGCAACCCAGCCTCCACATAATTTAAGATGACAGACTCCTGATATGGGTTGGATATTTGTCCCCTCCAAATCTCATGTTGAAATGTAAACGTGATTCCCAATGTTGGAAGTGGGGCCCACTAAGAGGCAACTGGATCATGTGGGCAGATCCCTCATGAATGGTTTAGTATCATCTCCTTGGTGATAAGTGAGTTCACACAAGATCGGGTTGTTGAAAAGTCTATAAGCAGATGCCAGCACCATGCTTACTGTACACCTTGCAGAACTGTAAGCCAATTAAACCTCTTTTCTTTATAAACTACCCAGTCTCAAGTATTCTTTTATAGTATTGAAAACAGACTAATACAGCTCTCTAGGCTATATGCATAGAAGATGAACCTCCTCTTCCCCCACCTCTCTCCCAGCCCAGCAAAATGTACCATTATCTGGTAATGCTTAATTTTTTTTTTTTTACTACACAATGAACTGGCAATCAAAAATTATGAAACACAAACAAAACAATCAACAGACTTGACCTAACTGACATTTATAGAACACTCCACCCAACAACAAAACGCACATTTTCAACTGCACATGAAGAATACTTTGATGACAGAATATATTCTAGGCCATAAAATAAATCCAAATAAATTTAAAATTATCTCATTACAATGGAATTAAATTAAAAATAACAATGATCTCTGAAAAATACTTGAATATTTGAAAACTATGTAACACACTTATAAATAAACTACAGATGCAATAAGACATCAGAAAAGAAATTATAAAGTATTCTGAATGGAATGAAAATGAAACGATAATATATAAAACATTGGAAACAGCCAGGAATGGTGGCTCACATCTGTAATCCCAGGGAGGCCAAGGAAAGAGTATTGCTTGAACTAACTCAGGAGTTCAAGACCAATGTGGGCAACATAGTGACATCCTTATCTCCAGAAAAAAATTTAATAAACTCTGGCCAGGTACAGTAGCTTACACCTGTAATTCTAGCACTTTGGGAGGCTGAGGCAAGTGGACTATTTGAGCTCAAGTTTAAGACCAGCCTGGGCAACACAGTGAAACCCTGTCTCTACAAAAAATACAATTAGCCAGGCATGGTGGCACACGCCTGTAGTCCCGGAACTTAGGAGGCTGTGGTGGGAGGATCTCTCGAGCCCGAGATATGAGGCTGTGGTGAGCCATGATTGTGCCGCTGCACTCAAGTCTGGGCAACAGAATGCGACCTAGTCTCAAAAAAATAAAAATAAAAATAAAGAATAAGCCAGGCATGGTGGTACATGCCTACAGTCCCAGCTACTCAGGAGGCTGAGGTGGGAGGGTCACTTGAGCCAGAGAGATAAAGGCTGCAGTGGGCCATGATCATACCACTGTATTCTATCCTAAGCAGTAGTGAGACCTTGTCTCAAAAAACAAATAAATTACAAACAATTAAAGGGAAGTTTATAGCATGCTTACATTAGAAAAGAAGAAAGGTCACAAATCAATGACCTCAGCTCCTATCTTAAGAAAACTAGAAAAAGTAAACAAATTAAACCCAAAGTAAGCTGAAGAAAGGAAATAAAGATTAGGGCAGAAATAAGAAAATCTACAGGCCATCAGTTAAACTAAAAGTTAACTTTTCAAGAACCTCAATAAAATTAGTAAACTTCTAGCCAGACTGATCAGGGAAAAGGGGAACAGAGACAAATTACCAGTATTGGGAATGATATTAAATTTCTACAGGTTATACAGATATTAGATTATTACACTTTCTACAGATATTAAAAGAACAGTAATAGAGTATTATAAGTAACTTTTTTGCCAATAAATGCAACAAGTTAGATGAAATAGATAAGTTCCTTGGAAAACTTACCAGGCATGTGAAGAGACAGAACAATACAATCATATAACCAATAATCAACAGAAAAACAAACAAGATAAACAGACCAACAGATGATGCAGATATTGGAAAAGACAAGCATTGAAATAACTATAATTAGCAAGTTCAAGAGAACTGAAGTGTATTACAAGTCTTTAAAATAAGATCAAAGGAATACTCTAGAACTCAAAATTACAATGTAAAATTAAAAACACAAATGATTAGTTTGGACAAAAGAGAAGATAGTTTTAGCATACTGGAAGGCAGGTCAATAGAAAATATCCAAACAAAGAAAAAAAGTGCAACATGTGGAACACGGTGATTAAGTTTAATATATGGATAATTAGGACCCAAAAAGAAAAAAGGAGCAGAAATAATATATAAAAAGGTAATAACGGAACTTTCCAAAACTAAAAGGCATCCAGCTACAAATTCAAATAACTCTATAAACATAAAGCGATAAAGAAAACCACATCTGAACACATAAAGCGACAAAGAAAACCACGCAATAGTCAAAGTGCTTTAAAAATAAGACAGAGTCTTAAAAGTAGCCAAAGAAAAATAAAAGACACATTATCCTCAGCAAGACTATAGCTAATACATTACCTTCAGTAAGACTGGTAGCTGACTTCAACAAAAAGAAAGGAAGCCAGAAAGCACCCAAACATTCTTAACGTGTTGAAAGAAAATAACTACCAACTTAGAACTTTATATCCTGTGAAAACACACTTCAGGCCAGGCATGGTGGCTCATGCCTGTAATCCTAGCACTTGGGAGGCCAAGGTGGGCAGATCACTTGAGGCCATGGGTTTGGAGACTGGCATGGTCAACATGGGGAAATCCTGTCTCTACTAAAAATATAAAAAAATTTAGCTGGGCATGGTAGCACATGCCTGTAATCCCAGCTACTCAGGAGGCTGTGGCATGAGAATCATTTGAACCTGGAAGGCAGAAGTTGCAGTGAGCTGAGATTGCGCCACTGCAATCCAGCCTGGGCAACAGAACGACACTCTCTCTCAAAAAAACGAAACAAAACAAAACACAAACCACTTCAAAAAAAGTGAAACTGCCATGCATGCTGACTCACACCTATAACCCAGCACTTTGGGAGGCCAAAGTGGGAGGATCTCTTAAGCTCAGCAGTTCAAGAACAGCCTGGGCAATATGACAAGACCCTGTCTTTAAAAAAATTAAAACATTAGCTGGGCAATGTGACATGTGCCTGTGGTTCCAGCTACTGAGGAGACTGAGGTGGAAGGATTGCCTGAGCCCAAAAGGTTGAGGCTACAGTTAGTCATGTTGATACCACTACACTCTAGCCTGGGTAACAGAGTGAGACCTTGCCTCACAAAGAAAAAAGAATTTAAGTATATATAGGAAGA